AAAAAAAAAAAAAAAAAAAAAAAGTCAATCGGTAGAATCTAGCCCCTTGCTTGAGTGGCTTGTATTGTAGACCAGTTGACACACCCTTTGGCAGGGCTCCATATCAGTCAAATGTCTTGTCAGGTATGGGAAGGGGAATTACTAGAAAATTTGTACTCTAGCATTTCTGTCATTCTTCTGGAAAATATTATATGCCAAATTCTTTTAAAGTTTGATCCTCTTTGAGCATTAAGTAGGATGATTAAATGCATTTTGCCAAGTTAGGATCATTACCAATAACCAAAAGATTTTGAGAATACAGCTGAGAACTTTGAATTTTCTCTTTTGTTTTTTCTATATTTTCTTCCTTGCCCTATAGAATAATCCAACCAGTTATAAAAATATTGGGTTTTAAGAGTCTCAAAAATAAGTTCACTAAGTTTTACATAGAGAAATATTGTGTGGCATCATGAATTTTAAGAAATGTCCATTAGTACCTCCTGCAGGTGTTAATTTGATCTATTCTCATGTTACAACCCTAACTTTTTTTTTTTGGTAGTTTTTTAATATATAGTTCATTTTTTGTACTTTTATTTTCAGTAGGTGAGTCAACACAAGATGGCAAATCAGGATCTGGTGAAAAGATCAAGAAACGTGTGAAAACTCCCTATTCTCTTAAGCGGTGGCGCCCCTCCACCTGGGTCATCTCCACTGAACCACTGGACTGTGAGGTCAACAACAATGGCAGTGACAGGGCAGTTCATTCCAAATCCAGCACCGCTGTTTACCTTGCAGAAGGAGGCACTGCCACAACCATGGTGTCTAAAGATATAGGAATGAACTGTCTGTGAAAGATTTTCAAGCCTATGGAGTGGAATTATTTTTTGCATCCTTTAAACGTGCAGAAGACATTTTAAAAAAAAAAACTGCTTTATCCTCCTGTCAGTACCACCTCTGACCCCTGCAACAAGGACTTGCTTTAAATAGATTTCAGCTATGCAGAAAAATTTAGCTTATGCTTCCATATTTTTTAATTTTGTTTTTTTAAGTTTTGCACTTTTGTTTAGTCTCGCTAAAGTTATGTTTGTCTGCTATGACCACAGAATTATATGTGTGTGTATCAAAAGTGGTCTCAAAATATTTTTTTAAGAAAAAAAGCAAAAAACATGTATTGCTGATAATCAGTTTGGACCAGTTTCTAAAGGTCATTAAAACAGAAGCAAATTAAGACAGGTTTGACTGCAGTGGTGTCTGGTATCCCTGTTTTATTTCTGGGCACAAGCTAGTTTATATGTTGATACGTTCCTAAACATATTATCTTTTGGACATTCTTTTCTCTTGTATTTTGTTTGAATGTGCAATAGTCTATAGGCCACAAATAAGCTTTCCTGTAAGCTCTCTTCCTAACAGAGCACACATTCTTCCATAATATGAACATTTTTTCCCCATCCCCCATACTTTGGGCTGGTCAGTTCTGTGACAGTGAATTTTTGCACGGCAGAAAGCAGCTACCTGATTTCTTGCTTTCTTTCTCCTTATGGAGAATGCAGAAAAATTGTCTCAAAGGGCTCTAAAGAAGGGACTACCAAAACCTTATTTGAAATGCCATTTCTTTTAACCTTCCAAATCCTAAATGTCTCCTTCCAGGCATTTTAATAAACATATTTGGTTCTGGTTTTGGAAGTTCATAAGAGAGCGTAGAACAAAGTAGAGGAAGTCAAATATTAGCCTTTTTCCATTTTATTTTATTTTTATATGTATGTTCATGTTCAACATTTATTTAAGAAGCACATTTTTATCAGAAAACGTATACAGCTATACTTATATGGAATTTTTAAGTAGGTAGATAGTTAAGACAATATAGTGTTATAGCCTTCATTCTCTGAATAGGCCATCTTTGACTCAAATAAAATTACATTTCCTGTTTAAAATAACTTCAAAAGTAATTCATGGTTTTGAATCTGTAGTATCTTTTTATTCTGTTCCCAAGCAAAGCCTGTTGACTGCATCTGAAAATGATTCCTCTTCCCATGACCTAAAACACCGTGTAGAAAAATCGTTCAACTGGCATGCCAGATCCCTGCGGAAGGAAGGATTGCTGCCAAACCTGTCATTTTTAAGCAGACTGAGACTTACCTCTCTCATCAAAACTTTGTGTTTTTTCACAAATCCTATTTTCATAATTTCTTCTTTTGCTAATTTTTCACATAATCTTTGTTATGTGAGCAGCATTTATTATTTACATTATGTTATAATATACCTTTTAATGATAACATGTATCCTTCAAATCATATTTTTTTAAAGCTTCCTTTGCTTCTTTCATTACTGATAATCATCTCTAAAACAACCTCTGCAAGTTTTTTTAAATAAAGCACTTTATGTCAAATAAGGGACTTTTTTTATAAGCACAAATTATTTTCTATCAATTTGCAAACAATGGTGATCTCACTTATTTTTTTCAGATTCTCAGAGTACTTAATAGACATTATCTAATTAAGTTCTAAGATTTCTCTGGAAGATAAAAAACTAAGAGGAAAACACATATCCCCAAATTCCTGATTTAGGTTTTTATCTCTGGAACAATATTTTCTCACTCGTATTCCTCTGTCTTTATCATTTAGCTAAAAATAGCCTAAATTTTCCAGTTTGCTATCCAAAATACTTATGACTGACTTGTGTATAAGCCTTCTCTTGTTTGCAATCTGCTATGATCTTATGAGTTAGATGTTACAACACTTACCATCTATTCAACTGGATTGCTGAACAGATTTGAATTCTTAGAATTAACATTATTTTACTAGTTCCCAGGATTTCCATCTTTTATGTTTTATTGGCCCTTCTCTTGATTCATACACTTAACATATTTTTCAGTCTTCTGGCATAAAATTTTTTTCATTTAGTTATTTTTTTATCTATGTAACAAATTATTTATATCTTCCCTAGTAAATTTTCACTTAGTTCTCTTGCCTTTAAATGTCTTTCAACTGCATTTCAGGATATTATTTTCAAATACTGGTAGGACATCTTTGAGTCAAAATAAATTGTATTCCTTCTCCACTGGAAGCATTGAGGATAAATGACCATTTAAGGTCTAACTCATCTTTTCCTGACAGAAGAAGAGTTATCTTACCTTCTACTATACTTTGTGTTTGGGCCAGTTGATTGTAAGCTTTCCAACATTTTTTGATGTTTAATAATAAAATGCTTTCAAAAATTAATATACCAAATTAAAAGAACTCTTTATAGTTTCCCATTTCATATAAGCATATTTAAAACAATTTCCTTTCTCCAATTTTTTTAGTAGACTATTAAAAAAGTAGAAGTAGAAAGTATTGATCATTTTAATAAATTTTAAATTAAACTGTATATCATACTGATTTACTTTTCAAGTCTGCTTGTAATATACAAGCAAGCAAAATTACTTAAAGTAGGTATTTGCTAACTTTATTCATCTAATAATAGTGTTTCTTAAAGCTAATATTTAACTGCTAGAACAAAATTTTTCTTGTAGAAAAGCATTTGAGTCCTTTTGAATAAAAGGCCAGTTAATGAAAAAATATTAAAATTCATTTTGCTAGCTAGTATTACAGCCTTAAAAGCATCATAATAGATAATCAAAGTCTAATATTTAAAGTCCCTTAGCTATTCTAATTATATACTAGAAATTAGTCATTGAAAGAACTTGATTTGAATTGTGTTTAGACAAAAATTATTTAATTATAATTCCTAAAAATGTTCCTTCTTTTTAAATGCAAAATTCGAAAAAAAAAATTGATATCAGTATAAAGAGTTATGGGAAGGCACAGGAGTGAAATAATACTAGTTGACCCTTTATTACATACTGAATGCTGGGATATACATACACTATCTCTTGTAATCCTCATAGCAACCATATGAGGATTATAGTTAATATTCCCACTTTTCAGATGAGGAAACTAAAGCTAAGAGAAGCTAAGTAATTTGCCCGAAGTCCACATCTAGTAGTAGACAAAGCTGGGATTTTAACCTAGGTTTACCTTTCTCCATGTCTCTCTTGTCCATACCACACTGCCTGCATGCTGTATGACAGGATGTGTAATAATACTGACATTTTGTCAGAAATTCCAGCACAACTGTGTCTTGCGTATAAACCAAACCAGATACCTTAATAACTTTAGTAAAGAAGTTAAGCAAACATAACAAGATGAGTAGACATGTCTATACTGATTGTTGCTTGAGAAATAATCACTAATTCAAGACAAAAGTCAATCCCACATCTGCCATCACTAATCTTAAAATCATTTCACTTCTCTTCGCTCATAACATTCTTATATTGCAGAACTAAAGGTAAAGTAAGTTTTTTAAAAAAAGAAGGTGGCTTGTGGAAACAGACTTTATCATAAATTGATTCTATACTTGATTTGGAGGAATTAATTTAACATGGACTTTCAGTCTCATCAATCCTTTGACTCCATCTTGAAAATTTCTGCTTTTAGTGACTTTAGAAAATTACTAATCCAGAGAACTAATTGAGGAGGATGTAGGAAGGACACAAGAATAATGTCCTTTTGAGAAAGCAGTTTGTATAGCTTCCTTACATGTATCTACTTGTTCTAGAAAATGTACATTGGTTCTGAATGTGAAAATGAAGAAAGGACCACTCAAGTATGTGTTTTAGTGGGAATTATCACAAAATTTGGCAAGTATTTTTATTTAAAATGTTTTCAAATTTGGCTTCTAAAGCCAAATAGAATACCTGTTAGGATTCAGCTATTTGGTGAACTTTCTATTCTCTGTAAACCTCTCTCTTCCAAGTCATTTAAAATAGAAAAAAATATTTCAATAAACTTCTTGTTTCTTTTTTTTATATTTATGGAAATGAATATTGCATTGGAGATAGTTAGCTCCTGGAACTTGAGGTTATATTTCTATACAACCTTTTAGAAATTTATGTTGAACTTATTACCAGTTATATAAAGCTTATTACATAACTGTTCACAGATTGCTTTATCTATTACTTTATCTTCCAATCTAACTCTTTAAAGATAAAATCTGTATACACATGTTAGTTGATTATCTAGACCTGTTATTCTAGAAATGGTGTAACACTCCCTCATATGCCCTAAGAGTCTTTTTCAGATGGGATGTTTCTAAATATTCATACCTTTTCCTGTCAGTTTGCTCTTCAGCAGATAAAATTTCATTTTAACTTTTAGATTCTGAACTATGCAAACTTAAGCCAAAATTACTTTGCATGATCTGCTCCTAAACATACTCCTTGATTAAGTAAATCTGGCAAATCACTGTTTGAGCTAGTTATACAAATGATATTATCAAAAGAAGGCTTTTCTACAGGTTCTCAGATTAAACTGACATACAAGAAAAGAGGAACTCCCAGGGCGCTCTGGTGTACCTATCCATTACTTTCCTTCAATCACCTCTTAATTTGTGTGTGACTTTATCCCTTGGTTATCTGCAATCTTCTGTGTCAGGAAAGTTTTCTTCATATCTATTCTGCTTCCCTCTTGTTTCATTTTACATCCATTTCTCTTATCCAGTAGTAAAAAAAGAAAGCAATTGGTCATCCTCTCCTATATTGTTACTCTTTAGAATGCTTCAGGCTTCTCAATTAACGTCTGAGTCTCAGATCTTCAGACTAAACTGCTTTGGTTCCTTTAGCATTTTCTCCTCAGTCCTATTTTAATAAGTATTTATAGTATTTAAGAACACCTAAAATTATATTTTATGTTATATTCAAATTTATTACTCCAGTTAAGTAATAGTTTAATAGAATAGAATTGAGAATTAAGATGTTAGCATTTGACAATGGATCCAACCATCAGATTGTCAGCAAATCAGCACTGAATTTAAGTTTTGTATTATCTAACATTTTATATTAAATTGTGGAGTTTTATGATTTTATTTTCTCATTAGTTATAACTAAAAAGCCATGCATTCAGAATTGTATATTATTTTGCCATTAAAATTTGTTAACCTACATTGCAGCAAGCTTAGCTTTATGATTGAGCCACAACATTTTACATATTTCTTTGTATCAAATATTAAACACAAAATGCAAGATTAATTTTCAAAAGCAAACCCTACAATAATCGGGTATTATCTATGAATATTTTTGCAGACCACTTTTGAAATACTTATCTTTGTTTTGCAACATAGACTGGACTACAACAACTTTCAGTTAACTTTTAAGTGACTGGTTAAAGTTTAGTGTTTGTGCATATAGAAAATGATTTAGGATTTTATC